TCTGTGCGTACCACCAATGAGCACTGAGAGATCTTTTTCAAGCCAACCCTTACTTCAACACGGTACATATATGTACTTTGCAAATCAAGAGCAGATGCTCCAACCACTGCACCACGCAACTGACTGCACATTCAGGTCTTAACTTACTTATGCCTGCTACCACTTCTAGGGCATAGGCCGCTGACAATATTCCTCCAGGCCCTTCTATCATGAGCAATGTTTTCTACCTCCCTCCAGTATTTCCCCATTCTTTTGACATCTGCCTCCAAATCTCTCCGCCATGTTTTTTGGCCTCCATCTCTTACGTTTTCCTTGTGGGTTCCAGGATAGGGCTTGCCTTGTGATGTTTTTATGTGGCTTGCGTAGAGTACGCCTTATCTCCACCTCCATCTTCTCTGCATTATTTCTGCTTCTATAGGGGCTTGGTTTGTTCTTTGCCACAGATTGGTGTTGCTTATTTTGTCGGGCTATCTAATCTGGAGGATGCATCCTCAGGTAGTGTAGATTCAAGTTTGTTCAAATCATGACCCCCAGGGCAAGGGTGGGGCCAAAATGGCCGACCCAAGTTTTACATAGGAATATATAGGAAAAATCTTTAAAAATCTTCTTCTCCAGAACCACTGGGCCAGGAAAGATGAAACTCATGTGGAATCATCCTCAGGTAGTGTAGATTCAAGTTTGTTCAAATCATGACCCCCGGGGCAAGGATGGGGCCAAAATGGCCGACCCTTGTTTTACATAGGAATTATATATAGGAAAAATCTTTAAAAATCTTCTTCTCCAGAACCACTGGGCCAGGAAAGATGAAACTCATGTGGAATCATCCTCAGGTAGTGTAGATTCAAGTTTGTTCTCATGACCCCCGGGGCTAGGGTGGGGCCAAAATGGTTTTACATAGGGATATATAGGGAAACCTTTTAAAATCTTTTTTTCAAGTACTTCAAAGCTATGATTAGTGATATTTATATGGAATCATCCTCAGGTAGTGTAGATTCTAATTTGTTCAAATGTTGAACGCCTGGAGGGGGGGGGGATAAATTCAAGCCCAATGTGCTCAGGTGAGCGCTGTGGCCCCTGGGCCTCTTGTTTGAAGCTTGATTAGGTAACCTTTCCATTCTTCAGGGATTGTTTTTACCTCCCATATTTTCAGAAAAAGTGGGTTGAGTATGTTGGCTGAGTCGTCAAAATCAGCTTGAAGTGCATCGCCTGGAAAATTATCTGCTGATTTACCATTCATCATCTGTTCAGCGCTGTTTTGATTTCCTTCTTAGTAGGAGGTCCCCAGTCTATGTCTAGGTCTTCGTCTGCTGGTGTAATGTTAGGAGGGTTAGGTGGAACTCACAGGCCTATTCAACAGTTCTTCTATATGTTTTTTCCATCTCCTTTCTTTTTCTTTCCCTTCTAGTTGTTTCCCTGCTTTGTCTTTCTTGTTTACTTCGCTTCCCAGCTAGCTTCTTTGTGATGTCATACAGATCTTTCATGTTTCCTGCTTTTGCAGCTGTTTCTGCTTCTGTTGCTAGCTCCTCTATGTTTCTTCTTTTGTCAACTTTTATTCCTTGTTCTTTTTTTTTCTTGTTGGCCTCTGCATACTCTTTTTGTGCTTTTGTTTTTTCAGCCCTTAATTGTTCTGCTTGAATTGACCACGGCCTTCTTATCCTTCTCTCCTGTACTTTCTTAAGCGTGTCATTTGTGATCCAGTCTTTATGATGGCACTTTTTCACTCCAAGTATTTCATGGCAGCTTGTTGTGATGGTTTCTTTCCATATAAATATCACTAATAATGGCTTTGCTTTTCTTGAGAAGATTTTTTTAATAAACTAGTATTTTAATGTAAAACTTGGGTCCCCCATTGTGACACCACCCTATCCCAGGGGATTATGATTTGAACAAACTAGAATCTACACTGCCTGAGGATTTGAACAAACTTGAATTCCCTTTACTCAACGATACTTTGTAGCAAGTTTGGGTTGAAATTGGTCCAGTGGTTCTTGAGGGGAAAATGAAAATGTTAAAAGTTTACAACGACGACAGAAAACGGACAAATGATCAGAAAAGCTCAAGTCGGCATAGGTGAGCTAAAAAGTCCCACCATTTTCCCAAGTAAACGCTATGGATCAAAAAGATTCCAGACCGAGACATTTCCTTCAGGTGTTTGAAAAATTGCACAAATCATTGGAGATCAATTACTGTCATTTAATCTCATTCTCAGTATTAAGCAATATTTTTTCCGTAATTCGGTATGGATGCTTTTTTCAGCAACAACAGATGCTGTCGCCTTAAGTTCCATATATACGATCTAATTCCTCTCCTCAGATTGTATATAATTCAAAGTCAAATGACAAGTATTCATAGTCGTTAAGCTGATTAAAAAGTAAGTACCAGTATCTTTAATGTTTTTGTATGATAAATAAAAAAATGTTAAACACCACTTTATTTTGAAATGCGCAATGATATTCTTGTAATAACAAAGGTAATTTCTTCAAAATAATTTATTTTGACAATATGACCAGTTTCATTTTGTTTACTCAAACAGAGCTCGCATTATAATTAAATTGGTTGAAAGTGTTGCGAATGTTACTTCTTCTAATCTATTGAGCATCAAAGATGACCATTGTACCTCGTCATGCCATACATATGTATATGCTGTGCAACACGCACAGCTAAACATTCTTTACTTTGTAACTTGAAGACGAACTTTTTCTAGGATTGGTACTTTTAAATTAATTGAGTTATGAAAATCTTATTATATACAATCGATAATATTCAACGAATTGAAATTAATTTTGACCAAGTAAAGTGAAATATATTTCATGAGCTTCTATATGATGTCTTTTTATAATTGATACACAAATGATATTCGTTATGAAGTATATTTTATAATTTTTCACAGAGAGCTTTAAAATGGGATTTTCGATCATCCGACTACTTTTGGCTGCACTGCTTTTGGTTTTTATTGGAGCTGTTTGCGGAACTCAGCCAAAGGAGACGTCACTGGCTAAAAGAAGTTCACGAAACAGACTTTGTATGTTAATATATAAATTATTTAGTCATTTCATGTTCAGAATAATTGCAGTATTAATAATTAATAGATGAATTTTTTCTGGTATTCTTTTTTGTAGTAGAGAATCTTATACTAACATATCTTCGGAATATCCAAATGCCCCAAATTAGTGGGAGTAGTGGTTCCGTTAGATACAGAGTGAACAAGTATGTTCATGGATAAAGAAATTGAAAATTATTATAAAGAATCTTGAACTTAATCTTAGAAATAATATTTTAATAATTTTACAGTTTGCGAATAACAGATTTAACACTACCACGCAGCTCAGTGCAAAAACTACAAGGGAGTCCGCTCACTCTGAAATTGACTGTCGATGGTGGAAGAATTGGCGGAAAGTTAGATTTCTGGTTCAGATATAAAACATGGCTGTAAGTCATGAGAGAGAGAGAGAGAGAGAGAGAGAGAGAGAGAGAGAGAGAGAGAGAGATGCGTGTGTGTGAGAGAGAGATGCGTGTGGGAGAGAGAGAGAAGGAGAGAGTGTACGTATTTTAAATTATTCAATGTATTATACACTTTTGTATTTTTATTTTTTATTCGGCGCAGATCGATATACTGTTATTATATTGTTTTTATTTAGGCTTCAGCATACAGATGATGGATATGTAAATTTCGGAGCAAGTAGAATCGGATTCAAAGTAAAAGTAACAGCAGGCAAGTGTATAACATTTCGTATTAAATTTTCAAAATTATGCTCTCCTTAATCTTGAGTCTGATTCAAAATAACTGGAGAGAGAGAGAGAGAGAGAGAGAGAGAGAGAGAGAGAGAGAGAGAGAGAGAGAGAGAGAGAGAGAGAGAGAGAGAGAGAGAGAGCAAAACAATGAAGTTATATGCATTTAGGTGAAAAAATGAAATGTTATTGTTTTCCCAGATTTGGCCAGTAAAACCCTCCAGGTTAACAGTTGCAGTAGCCCACGTAGTTCTGTAAGAATCAAATTCCATGGAACTGGCTGGGGATGGCTTTATAATAGATTCAGAGGAAGACTAGAAAATAGTTTGGAGAAAAAATTATCTGGTTCAAATGGTCTGGTGCGTATTATATTTTAACTACTAAATTGTATATTATTGACGAAATGTAATGAAAGTAGCTTTCTTTTTATAAAAAGAATCTTTGTGAGCACTTCAAACATTATTTTGTTGCTGGAGCAGATTTGTAAAGGTGTGACAAGGGCCATTAATAGAGGAGGAAAAATTATCTTCAACAAACTAGTAGAAAGCCAAGGTAACACATATAACCGTTTCTTTTAATATTTATACCCTTCTCGCTGACTATCACAGCTATTTGAAGTAAAACTCTTCTTTATTCAAGAATTATAAATTCAAACCAGTTAATTATTAATTTGACACTTCTAAATTACTTAAAACAGGAAAACATATGACCGGTAGTCATTTTCCACTGAGTTTTACAAAGATTTTCGAAGACTTTCGGTATTTGAAGGAGAAAATCAATATTTATTAAGTAAAATAACAAAATGTTTCTATAATTCTTACAAATTGTATTTAAGGCTAGCCTGTCTTTCACCATCCCGTCTTCGTTGCTGGTCATGAACATAATAAACAATTGTATTTTGTGACAGTTACTTTTGTTTCTTGTTGATTGTGTGTATCGTGAACCTTAAGGGTTGGATGGGTCCAAAATTGGCGATCAAAGAATGCATAATAAAAAATCTCAAAAACAACAAAATTATTATCAGCCATATCTTCTATGGAAGCATCCCTAGCTGTGTTTTATCATGTCATAACCCCGTAAGTTTGGTAGGACCACTATGGGCGACCAAAGTTTTACATAGGAAAACAGAGGAGGATAAATTATCCAAAAATATTTTTTCTAAAGAACATCAAGGCCATGATAAGACATTATAATCGAGATCTGAACAATTTTAAGTAGTGTGCAGATCATGGACCCTGGGCATTGGATTAGTTTTCCATGGGAAGATAAATTAAAATCTTTAAAAAATTTTATCTAAAAGTAACAAAGCCATGATGCGTATATTCACATTAAGCATTTTCAGAAAAAGATCCAGATTTTTAAAAATCATGATCTCTGGGGTAGGATGGGGCCACAATATGTAGTTAAAATGTTACGTTGAAATACCGGTATATTTTGGAAAATTATTCTCACATTAAACGTTTTGGGGCAAAATGAAAACTAACTATCTATCTGTGTTCAGTAATTCTGAAGTAAAAAAAGGAATAAGATAGATTACGTGATCAGTATGTACTGGTCCCTGCTGACAAACCAGGTAATAACATTGTCTTTGTTTGAAAGGCTCATTTTTTAAATTGTAGCTAAGAGCTCGAGGAACTGAGATTTAATTACACCGGTGGTAATCCAACTTATACTCATTACTCCCTTTCTAATTATTCATTTCTACAAAATTAGATCGTGCCAGTTTTGAATATTTTTAATATTCCAAACAAACAACATTTAATTTAATTACCATATCTAAATTGGATTCCAAACCTTCATTAAAATCTTTGTCAAAAAAAAAACCCATAGAGGGTTCCAGTAAATGTTCTTCAAAAAATCTTTCTTTTACTCGTCACTAAAATTTTAACACTAGTGAAGGAGAAACTTCAGGAGTACTTAACAACAACGAATTCGAGAAGTGGTGCAAATCAGATGTGGATACTTTCAAGGAACTTTTGGAAAATTTGAAATCACAAAATAATACGAAAATCAACAGCATAAAACTTGCAACTTTTCAACTTAATATAAACCATTCCCCACGATAAATTAAAGTCCAGGTTTTTTGAAATCATTCACAGCTGTTTTTTTTTCAATAAAAATAAAACTCGTAAACTTATTTACCTTGTCATTGGTCATTTGCAAAATTATTTTGTTAAAAACGTTCTGATTGTACTCTGAAGTTGACATTAAAAAGATGCTTTAGTTTCTGACAATATCTATGTGGTTTTAGAGACCAGGTCCTCTAAAATCTATTGGAATTCCCATGGTACCAATTGCGCCCCTTTTTTAGCAGACGTATTTTTGGATCTATATGAAGCAGAATCTGAGCAATTTTTTTGTTTGAAAAGAAGAAAACTTTTGTTGTGGCCTTCAACTCGACATTTAGATATTTAAATGCATGACGTATTTTCAATTAACAATGACTACTGAGTATTTCCATTCTTATGTCAATACGATATATCTCGGTGAGCTTGAAATGAAAAGTACCACAGAGTTTGACACATCTGTTTCATATTTCGATATTTAACTTGAAAAAGACGTTAATGGTAATATAACAATAACAACCAAGCGTTATGATAAACGTGATGCCTTTAACTTTTCAATCGTCAACTTAAATTCCCTTATTTATGTAGAAATATACCTCAATCCCTGCTTGCGGGGTTTATACCTCTCAGTTGATTCGATTAAAATAAAACATGCTCTACGTTTGAACAATTTCTAAAACGAGGCAAATTATTGACAAACAAGTCGACGAAATAAGAATACCAGCTGTTTCATTTAAAGTCATCATTTTGTAACTTATATGGTCGATACAATGATCTTGTCAGCAAATACAATTTATAATTGAGTCAAATGCTGACCTATGTTTTTCATACTAATTGTTAGGCCATTATTTATACACTGGGTTGTCGGTAGATTTTCCCGTTGTTTCCGGATCATGACAAGTAGCAAACGGCGGGTGTGATCATGACCGGTCGACTCACTCCTCTATGGCACCTGATCCATTCTCTGATCTTTCGGAGGCCCGTGTTTGCTCTGCTCCAATTTTGTATTCTCTAATGACCTTTCTAGCTTGAATACTGTTCCTTCTCTCTGATGTTTTTGAGGACTGTGTTTGCTCTGCTCCTATTTTGGACTTTTGAGCTCGAATACTCTTCGTTTTATTTATATACTCCATATATTTCATCTCAAGAACTAGCGGGTCGGAGTAATTGACAATTATTTGGGAGCTTCATTACAGTATTAATATATACAAATCATGATTGAAAAGCCAGGAGGAGTTATATCTATATGAAAACATGTTTATATAGTGTAGATTTAAGCTTATTCAAAACATGACCCTGGGTTGTTAAATTTAGGTCACATTCTTCTTGTAATAAAACTGATCATTATTAAACTCCAGTACAAGACATAACTCTAATGACTATTAAATACACGGTATCTCATGTCAAAGTCTAAATTTTAAAAGGGACTTTATTAATAAATGTAATGATGTAAGATTTGTTTGTTTCTACAATAGGTATTTTCAAAATAAATGAATCGAGCTTTCTTTTATACTATTTAGTTTCTAATTGCCTTTCTAAAGATGAGTATTTTTCTAGGAACCTTGAACGTTTTCTTTAGTCGTCTTGGTTTTGTTGAAATGTAACGCCGAAAAATGAGAATGCTTAAAAGGAAATTCTGCCAAAGGATAATATTAATAATAAGTATTTTTTATATGTTTAAATAGGTTCAAAATTCTTTTACATTTAGGTCTGAATATTTGTAATTTTGCGTACGAACATATCTTTCAACACGCTAGATTTCAGAAAAGAACCCTGTAAAATGCCTGCTTTTTAACATGGTAAGAAGTCGAACAGATGAGAAATAATGTTATCAGATTGCGCTTTAATGTCAAGTAAATGTAAAAAAAAAAAATTACAGAATTACATGAGCTGCACTGTTTCTGTATCTTGGCAAGGCAAAGGTTTGCTCTTTATAATGAATGGATTAAAGACATCTGCATTTGACAAGAAAACCATATAAAACATAATCTTTCAGACAAGAGCATTTCAAATCAAGTTAATTATAAATGACTTTTGAAACATATTTTGTTGCCTCGTTACACAATATTGTATTATGACAATGTGACCTTAAATTGTGCGAAAAACAACCTGAGTTTAAAATTAAAAGAGCGCGGAGTTGTATAACCTAATGTATGCAAAACTGGACCCATGTGGGTAGGTTTTGGTCATTCTATTTAATCAAAGTTTAACATCTCCTCCTGAAGAATAGCAAAGACCATTTGAACTTAATTTAGCTGAGGTTTGTGGCCCATGGTCATTTGTAGTAATTTTGTAATAATATTACATCATACCTCATTTGATTCTTTTAATAAGAATAGTATATAAAAGTCATATTTTCAACGCTAAAAATCCATCGAAGTGTCATTTTTTCTTCCTCCAACATCAATATTCCTACGATTGAAAAACTAAATAACACCTATAATGTTTTCCTAGATAAGGACAATTGAAACTTCACCTTAAGTAACCGGAGAATTAGTACGTGATGTAACAGACGATCCATTTCATCCAAAACATGTTCCTTGATCGACTTTAGGAGAATCGGTAACACATTGCAACATTTGGATAATCAAGTTTCAAGATCGGCATGTGCAAGAAGTGACCGGTAGCAATATTATACTGGATAATAGATTTGGTTTACACGATTTCTAATGAACGGGTTATGCACTTCTAGAAACTTTTGTCAAGAAACCATGTTTGAATTGACCAAGACTAAGATAAAAATAATAATATAAACAGTCTCCATTTAATACGACAATTCTGCAAATTCTCTGGTCGATTCAACAGTCTTGTCGACAATCTATCTTTACCTCGAATGTTGAATGTTGAATGTTTGTTTTGCATACAATTTTTCAGATCATTATTTTTACAATGATCCAACTGTCTAAGATTATTTAGTTTCCCCGATTATGACACGGTGGGTGTAGCTGGTTGGCATGGGAAGCTACCTATCAATACTACCTGATCCTTTCTGGTCCAGACGGAGGATCCTTCCTCTGATGTTTTAGATGCTCATGTCTGATCTGCTCCATCTTGTTATTCTTTCAATAGACTTTTGGATTACTTGATTACTATTTGAAACTAATGTAGGAAGTGTCAAACGTTTTTTACCAGAGAATAGGCAGTACCAAAGTTTTTTCCTCTTTTTTTTCTTTTTCAAATTAATGAAACATGGTTGATTTTATTTTCCTCCAAAACATGCAAAATGCAAATAGAAACGTTAATAGTTTTAAGAGAGGAATTCACATTTTTGTCATTTGATACTTTTCCAAAGTTAAGCCAATAAAATATCGCTATCATTTTGTCTGTTTTTTTTAATATTGCATATGTGCTTTACCTGCCCGATCAGTTATCTACGGAAGCCCATTAGTGCCAACCTCTATATATAAAGGAAAAGCGATATATAAAAGCAAACCTCGATATATAAAGGAAATGCGATATATATAAACAAAACCTCGATATATATAAAGAGAAATGCGATATATATAAAGAGAAAATTTTCCACTGCGTGACCTGAAGCGCTCGGCTGTCCATCAAGATTATATACAGATTAACCCCTGGCAGGGGGAAATCAGTTAATACAGTACTCATGTATAACTTTCCCAGAATCGGCAAATTGTTTCTATTTAATAGTGTTTATTTGTTTACACATGCATATATCAATGAACTGTAATTGTAACATTACTTAAAAATTAAATACATTCATGAAATAGGTATATGTGTTACATTAGAAAATTAAATCTAAAGTTTAAACTTATCTTGATAATTTTTATAAATAAGTTTAAACTTTAGATTTAAACTTTTAATGTAACATATGCATCGGATTTTCTGTGTTTTTATTTGATTTACATATATTTTGATCCACTTTGTTAATTTTGACAACCCAACTTTTTTTTTTTTTTTTTTTTTTTTGATTTATTTATTTATTTTTTGTTTTTACCAAACTTACTACCTTTGGTTTTACAACCGAGAATTTATGAAAATAATGATAAACGTGGAGTCTTAACAATTCTTTTAATGCCCTAATTCAAATTTATTTAAACCCATTATAAAAATAATTTACTAGTATGCCAATATAAAAAAAGAATCGGAATGGGAGAGATGGAGGTATCCACTTCATTTTAATATAAGGGAAGAAAGCGACATGTATATATGTAACTATTACCGTGATAATTTTAGGGTCTTTTGCTGTGAAAAAAATCAAAGTATTTGTGAATAAATAAAAAAAACGAGTTAGTGCAATGTTACAACGCACTTTGAAAAATTACGCACTTTGAAAAAATTTTTTCAAAGTGCGTTAAATTTTGGGACCAAGTCAACGCACTTTGAAAAAATAAAATTTCTTTTCAAAGTGCGTTAATATGGACCATATTAACGCACTTTGAAAAACTGTGTATGGATTTGTCAATATTCCTGAAAATCTTAGGTATGATAAATAATTGAACCTGTTTGATAAGTCTTCTGTGAAGAGGTCACATTAGGGTGTGAAAGTGAGCGATTTTGATTTTTGCATACTTAGAAAATTCTTTCTCGCTTAAATGCTTTACTGTACTAAATTTTTTTTCAAGTTTGCATGCATTTTATGTAAACTTAAATTTATTGAAAGTTTTCAACGTCATACCAGTTATGTAAACACATATATTTGGGTGTAGCATAGGCATCAGTACCGGAAAGGGGGGTTACATGTAGGCACATAAATATTTTGCAAAGATATACATAATATAGACATGTATGCATTAAAAATTGGGGCTTACCTGTGGGGTCAACTTTCAATTTGCTACCAACGGCTATGTACAATGTTTAAGAAAAAAAAGAGTTGGGATGAGAGACCTTCTACTCGTCTTCTCCTTGTTCTCAATGAGGTTAAATGAGTTCATGTCAATTTAAAAAAGTTTTTTGAAAGATATAATTATTACAATTTGATTTCCTCTATTACTAAAATCTAAGTCTAGAATTTTTATTTTCATTCATATCTTTTTTTTCAAAATGCGTTAAATGCCTCCATGGTAAAAAATTATTATGTGCATTCTTAACGCACTTTGAAAAAAATTTTTCAAAGTGCGTTGAGTGTGTCCAAAATTTAACGCACTTTGAAAAATTTTACGCACTTTGAAAAATTTTTTCAAAGTGCGTAATTTTTTCAAAGTGCGTTGCCACAGTGCAAGCACACTTACATAAATAAACTGCAGAGTTTTGTCCCACGTCGTAAATTAATTCGATTTGAAATTCTCCATAAATTATGTAAAAAAAAACAAAAAAAACAGTAAAACGTTAAAGAACTTATAAAACATGATGAACCACTTGAATGTATTTTTGCACTGAATTATATTTCGATTGAAAAATACCCACTACATTAAGTGCTAAGTAATATATATTATAGGCAGAAAAGTCTCTTATTGGTGTCGTTCTGCCCAACACGTCTGAGATGTAAGAAAAGCAGCAGCTTTTTTAGCTTTAGTTTTATTCGTCATAATTATCAAGATACACAAATGAAGGAAACACGCTGATAAATACCATCCTGAAACAGCCACATCAACTGATTGCAATCAAAACATTGGACCAGGAGCTGCTTATCATATGTTAGCGAAGTCTGTTGTAATGAAGGTCATTAAACATGTTAAAGGTCAGGCGATGGAATTTTTCTCTTTATACATATCGAAGTTTTGTTTATATATATCGCATTTCCTTTACATATATCCCAGTTGTGTTTATATATATCGCATTTCCTTTATATATATATCGAGGTTTTCTTTATATATATCGCATTTCCTTTATATAGATCGAGGTTTTCTTTATATAGATCGAGGTTTTCTTTATATACATCGCATTTCCTTTATATATAGAGGTTTGCTTTTATATATCGCATTTCCTTTATATATACAGGTTGGCACTAATGGGCTTCCGTAGTTATCTAACATGTAAGTTTATATACATGTATACATGTGTTTAACTTTATATCAAAATGCAGATGTTCCCTTCTTAAATTTGCCATACTATCGATTTAAATTTTCTTTTAACATATAAGTACTCCAAAATAAAATTTAACTGTGCATTTGATGTACAACACTACAAAGTAAGTTAAAAAATTTATGCCTTCTGAAGATTTATATTGATAGGTTACTAGTATTTGAACATAAAATAATTCGCAGATTGAAAACTCCTTAGAAATTATAATGACTTAGCAAATGATAGTCCATTAAATTGTATATTTACACTGCTGATAAATTTAATTGATAAGAATGTGAAGGGATTGGTTCCTTAAATAAAAGACGTTTTATTGCTCACTGCTTGTATAATGGAACATCATTTATATCCTGGTCCATTTGCAAAGTATATTACTTTTGCTTAATCATACAACTTTCATTCTAATAAAAGTGAAGTTTTGGCTTTCATTTCCACTTTTTACACCGTTTATTTTAGATTCTTGAACTCTTTAAGAGACTAAAGAATTTTAATTATTCAACATTTATTTTTTTTTTGTCACATATGTACGTTGACGTAAATTTTGAATTTTTTTTCAGGGCAATAGAAATGAGTCCTTCGATTATGTCATTTCTGGTCCTTTCTTGCTTAGTCGTCATTAGGACACTTAGTAAAGGACACCAAGGGCGCGAACTTTTGAATAAAAGAGGTTCTATCAACACCCAATGTATGTTATTCCATTTGCAAATTAATTTTAAACGAAAAAAATTAAAGCTTCTTAATCTAAAATCCTTATGTTGTCTCCGTATGCATGTTTTATTTTTAGTGATAAATACATGTATGTATTTGGAATCTATTGCGAAGTATGTTTTTTCCCATAATTAGCAAAAGCAGTAGTCTTCTTAGATATGACGTAAAGTACGTATTGCTGGTACACATAACATTATAAAATCTGAAACTAATAAATTGTCCTCCAGAAATATTTACTTATGACACAATTTAACAAGATTACGGCGGAAAAAATCAAAAGCAAGTCGATTTTTTTTTTCAGTGTACATATAAAGGATATAGACTGGCCAACCTCAGATATTCCAATGATCAAAACACATACCCAGACTTTGCAATGGACTGTTGATGGATCAGGGCTCTCAGGGGGTTTAAATGCACAGATACGGATATATGTCTGGGGAATAAGGTGATGTTACAGTTGTCATGTAGCCCTGCAATGTAGTTTTACAGTAATTATGAAAAGATCTGTATAATGTTCCTTTGTTTGCATAATTAAATATTTGGAAAAAATACAATTTTGGTTTACAGAGAAAGAAACAATCTTTTAATTAAAGAAATAAAGAGAATGTGAAAAATCAAAAGACATTTTATCAAAACATTTTATATACATGTAACTGGCTTGTTTTTTTCTTATGCAGGATATTATCTTTAACTATAAATGGTGACCTGAGTGTACGACGACTTGGATTCAAAATTGATATAATAAAGGGTAATTATTCAACAATATAAAAGCTAACGTGCAGTAAATTAAGTATCAATCTAAGTTTGACAACAGTAAACCACTGAGACTCAAAAGTCACAGCATCAAAAGGTTCATTAACTGTAACACTTTACCCAGCATGTGCAAGTAATAATGAAACGTTACATATATTCAGTAATATATAGGTCCGTGTCGTGCTCATTTTCTAACTTCATAAATAGAGTATATTGTCCAACGGAATGTACATGAAAAGATAACTTTTATTTAAAATAAGTTTTATATAGTTTTTGCAACAATTTGTAATAAATTTAGTATGAAAATATTTTTCTATTGATTTCTAGATCCCATGTTTGTTATGTCAGATTTATAATTTTTAAAATGCTCCATTTGTAAAATTTAAGATGCCTTATCTGTTGTAGATGCAAGAAACGGTTCAATTAAAACTGCTGATTGCCAGTGTGGCGGGGGTTCAGTTAGACTTAGACTTTATGGAAGTATTGTGGCCTGGATTGCTAACATGTTCACTTCCTTAATTGAAAGTAGAACGAGAAAATTGCTTGCCGATCCAGATGGACTTGTACGTATTTTCACATGCTAGAGCATATATCAGATTATTTAAAGTTTTACAATAGTCTACAACTCTATAAAGTTTTTTTAGGTCAAAAACGTGTGTATAAATTTTAAATATATATATAATAAAATGTAGATTGAATGAGATTACCTTGGTAAATGAGGGATTTTAGCAATTTTTTTCTTCAAATTTGTACCATCTATGTAATTGTGAATTATATTGCATGGTTTCTAGTAAGCTTTAAATAATAATAATAATGTTATAGAATACTAATGCCTCCTGTTTACACCAAAAAGTGCACTTTAAAAATGAACAATTTTGATAATTATTTTTTTCTTCCTTTTTTTACATTTAGGTTTGCAAAGAATTGAAAAGAATGGTTAATATATGTGGAAGAGAGATAAATACTCTATTCAAAGGTAACTGTACAATAACTGTAGGTATTGTAGATAATGTATACTTCCTCCAATCTTAAGACGAGATTTACGTCGCTTTTCATGTGTTAATTCGCGTTTTATAAAAAAAAAATAAAGAAAAAAAAACTTAATTAAATAATGCGCCAACATAGAAAATGATACATGTATTAAGATAATTTTTAAAGATATGTATTAAGATATATCTTTCTTGTTGGATGTCTAAGCACATCGGAATAATTTTTACATGCGCTTATTTACATTATTATCCATATCTCAAAGGTAATAGTTTAGAAGAGACTTAATATGAACAGTCCTTGAACATACTGTGGAATAATCACAACGAATGTGGATTTCGCTGATCGTCGCCTGCTGTGGCGCAGTAGTAAGAGCGTCTGCTCTAGAGTTGCGGAGTAAGGAGCCGATCATAATGTCGTTGGTTCAAATCCCATTGTGGGACGTTGAGACAGCTGCTTCGGATGAGACCGTATAAACCGATGTCCCATGTCGCAGCAGATACTGGCATGAAAAAGATCCCTCCCTGCTCGATGGTCCTGAGTACCGAGTAAAGGTCAAAATTTGTAGCTCTCAAAGGCAAAGGTGGCGTCTCCATATGAGTGGAAAAAATTTTAAGAGGGACGTTCAACAACAAACATACCAAAGATTTTCATTGGTAACCCCTACCCTAGAATTTACATCTATTACATTTATCTTGTGAAGATATCAAATTGTAATCCATTGTCCAATAGCTTGCTTGATTTGTATTTTCTGCAATTCAACAGAAAATTTAAATCAAGCTAGTTTATCCTGTACAGACGACTAGAAAGGGCTGGGAGGTGGAAAATAACCAGATTGATAAAAATGTGTCTAGATTTAGGGAGTGAAAGGTAGTTAATTTACCAATCAATCCTGGAAGAGGAGAAAGCCTCCCCAACAAAGCTATTTTATTGATTTATATTAATGCTTTTTTGGCTATTTAAATTTGCTTAATTTTTAGTTAAACGCTGAACTGTGATAAATACCGAGCGCACTCGATTACCCTCCAATTGCTGAAGAAACAGTTCGTTGAAATAAAATCATTTATAAGAAGTTGAGTTTTTGATCAACAATACAACAATATATATATATTTTTTTAGACAAGGTTTCCCTGGGTACCAATTGTTTCCCTTATTATCATACCTAATTTTTTTTCATATGAAGTAGATATTATGAAAAACTTTTACCTGAGAAGAAGGCGTGGCCTTCAACTTAACATTTCGAAAAAAACCATGATGTATTATCACCAATTATAATTTGGTTCGAGAACCAAGAAAAGAGAGTAAAAACATGAGAGAGTTAACGAGATAACCCAAATATGTTTTGAGCTTGGCTAAAATCCCGTGGGGATCCGGGTTAGAATAGGTCCTCAGTACCCCCGTGCTTGTCGTAAAAGGCGACTAAATGGGGCGGTCCTTCGGATGAGACCGTATAAACCGAGGCCTCGTGTCGTAGCGGGTGTGGCACGATAAAGATCCCTCCCTGCTCAATGGCCCTGAGTGCCGAGCATAGGCCTAAATTTGCAGCCCTTCACCGGTAATGGTGACGTCTCCATATCGGTGAAATATTCTGGAGAGGGACGTTAAACAGTATACAATCAATCAATTAATCTTGGTTAAAAATATGATTTTCTTGTGTTTTTACCCTTTTCTTGAATATTTCGTAGTTGACAGTTTCGAATTTATCATAAAATGGTTATTTTTACAAAATCAAGTGGTCTCTTGTAATGACAATTCATTTATAATTAATGCATACTTGAAACGAAGAGCATATTAAATAAGATCAGAAATATTTTTTTCCATCTTAAGATTTTGCATACTTCAATTGCAAATCCGAGTGATTTTTCATAAATTTAAAGTACTTTTTCCAAATTATAATGGGAATAAGGTTTTTATTTCAAAAGAAAAAAAATACATTTAAAACATTTAGAGCAATTAAGAATTTTATCACATAAGGGTATTTCTTATTTATGAATTGTAAATGAGTAAGGCGTCCTCATGTATGTAATTTTTGCCAATTTTCGTTTCACAAATATATGATATTATTATTTACTTCATAACACACGTTTACTTTGCCTTAACGAAATTAATTATCGTTCACTTTATATACTGTATATTTTTCCACTTTATATACCGGTAAAATATCTCCTTCCTTCTCACGGTCACTCTTCTTATTTTGATTAATTTTAAATATACAAAGATGATCTCACATAAAGATTAACGTTTAAAAACACAATACAATTAATCTGTGACTTTTAAATTAGATTGTGGTTTAATTGCCCTAGAATTTATTTTATTTTATAAACTTTGAGGTGGTCAAAGAATAAAATGTTCAAGGTAATTCTATTTTTTCTCATGTGTGGACAGGAATATAAATTTTAGGTTTTAGTGTACCTGGTATCTAATAGATTCGTTATTAACATGTTCTTATAAAATGCAGGTGTAAGTTTAAGCAAATTAAATTAATGTATATCTTTTGCACACAAGAGTCTAGTTGGAATTTCAACTTACAAAATTGTACAATATATAAGACAGTTTGCATTAAGTATGTACTAAATTACTGCATTTTAAAACGCAAAAGCCATAAAAACAACACATCTATGCTTTGAACATATTGCAAACATCGATAGAAAAAAGAAATTATGTTGAAAAATGTAAATAATTGCAATAAGCTATTCCAAGCAATTCAATAGCGTATGTCACCCCAAACTGGACAAGACTCTCACTTTTTCATCACTAAAACAATACCCATTAGCTAAGCTTGGAAAACCATCAACTCAATCAGTACTTTCAGTACATTGATATAGAAATCAAAGTGAAAGAATTTTCACTTTTCCCCTGTTTCCATGGAAACTTTTGACAATTTGCAATTTTTAAATCCAATGAGCACATTTACAGATACTAATCATTACATAAATAAAATTTCATGAAGAATGTTGAAGGGACCAGAGAGAAATTCGTCACTTTTTTCAGGTTTCCATGGCAACGATATTCATTTTGAAAATGAATGACAACACAACACAACTACAACCAGTGATCTTCGTTTTTGGAAAGCTTCAGGAAGATTGTCCCAGTCATCTCCGAGAATCAGCCTGGAGAACAAAAACATGCGTACAATCGCAATATGTCGCCCGATTTCGTTCGGGGCGACACAATAATATTAGATTGACAGATTTAACTGTTCAGAATTGCAGTATACGTCAAATATACATTTCATTTTTACAGTTGTTTTCAAATTTGATACTCTTCAGAAAAATTTAGACATACTTAGAATTATTCTTCCAACGGATACCAGACGCTTTACTTTGCTTTAAAATTGATATACTACATATTATGGGAAGTGATTTCTTTCGAATACTTAGTAATTTTGTTTTAGCTCACAATACAAATTATTTCTTTGACTTTTTCATATTGTCATAAAAGAGGGATTTTATTTTTCGTTTCATTATTAAATGATATATAATTTCTTTTAGTGAATAATGTTATAAGTTTATCTTATCAGGGAAAACAATTTAGCTTCTCTGTGCTGAATTTTAATTTTTTTTTCTTGTACAAAAGTACAATTTTATGATCATGCATTTCAAGTTTCATGATGATATCACATTTGATAAGAAAATTATGAAGAAATAAAGAAAGCATGTAAGTGTGCATCGGCGCATGAAAGCTAGCGGAATTTTCGTCTCTTAAATAACGTCATGATCTCTTTTCTGCTTCACATGATTGCGTCTGTTGACATCCAATTATCATAAAATGAAAAACCACTCTTGACT